GAAGAAAAACACATAAAAGCGGATGTTGGCAGGGGAGTAGGGAGATCCCGGGGCCGGGGGGGCCAAAGGGCGCTGGGGGCCCGCCGAGCAATCCGGGGAACGACCGCCGGGCTCGGGCATCTTTCGGACATTAGGGGGGGGGAGCGTGGCGTGGGGCAGAGGGGAGCGAGGAGGGGCGAGGCGACACAGGACGAGCGCGCGCGTGCGCGCACGTGGGCGGGCGGCGGGCGGCGGGCACGCACCTGGAAGGGCACGAGAGGCACGAGAGGCCCCAGAGTCGAGTGCTGCACCGAGTTGACGTTGGCGCCGTGCTCGAGCAGGAGAGCCGCCGGCGGCGCGAAGTGCAGTCGGTCAGCCGGCGCCGGTCCATCGCATGCCGCTGGCGCCGGGCCGTGCGATCAGTCGAGTGAAGGGTTGGCTAGCCTTGCCGTTCAAGATGAAGCCCGCCATGTCGGCATCGGCTGCTGCACGTTGAAGGAACTGGGCGGCCGAGCCGACGACGGGCACGATCCGCTTGCTCTCCTTGTGCTGCAGCCACGGTAGCTCGCGCAGCATCCGCCAGCCGTCCTTGCAAAGGTAGCCAACGACGCCTCGCGAACCCTCGCCGACCAGCTCGAGCATGTTGTTGTAGGTCGGTTTGGTGTTCTTGCCGAACATCTGCGACAGCGCGGACCTGCCCGCGACCACGTGGACGACGCCCGCCGAGTCCACGAGCGTCCATGATGGCTCCAGCGCCATGATCGACGCGGATCTTCGAGGTGTTCAAGCGGGCGCCAGTAGATCTTCGAGGTGTTCACGCGGATCTTCGAGGTGTTCAAGCGGCGGTGGAAATGACTTTCCTCATCAGCGAACCTCCGCCCAGCAAAAACTCAGGACCCGCTGACGGTGACAATCGTTGGTGAGGCGAGACATGTAGCATGCAGGTTGCAGTCTGTATAGAGAGCATCTGCACCATACAGACCCTCTCTGCACACACAGTGCACTCTTGGGTGGGATTCTGTATTCTGCACCTGCATTGTGTGCATTCTGTACGACTCTTTTTTTGGCCTCTCCTACCTATATTGGGCTCTGGGCCGGCGCGGGGCCCCCCGGAGGCACCATGCGCCGTGCAGCAGTGCGGAAACGGGGCTCCGGCTCCGCTACTGTATGTCAGCTAGCACCGACTTCCCGATTAAGCTAGGTTAATCAGAGGGCAGATTTGGAGAGATCTCGAGGAGTACATACAGATAGACCCTCTAACCATAAGATAACTCTAACCTGAGCGGTCGTACTGACCGCCGACAGATCACTCCAGACAGCAGACAGGCCGACGTCTGCACGCGGCCGGCCGGGCGAGAGGCTTGACACGATCCGACCCTGCGACCCTGACGCTGCTGCTCTAGCTATCAGACATGCATTGCTGACTGCTGCCACAATGTGCGACCTGTGCTGGCCCACTTGGCGGCCTTCCCGGTCAGTGGTGAGGCGCAGTTCAGAGCTGTCGATGGCGCGATGCCGCACTGGTCCCACATTGGTGACACGATACCACCAAGTTTGCCGGTCCAAGAGAGAGGCACCGGCGCTGTCCTGAGAAGGTGCGTGGTCCCTCTTGACTGCCCATGCGCGCGAGGCTGTGTAGGCATAGCCTCGAGAGTGCCAGAGCCAGTCCAAGGCAGTTTGTGACGCGCATTGCGTCAGAAGCGTGCACACGATGGAAGGACACCTTCCTACTGGCCGTACGATCAGGTCGTCACTGAATGCTTGATACTAAGGCCGCGAGCTATGCAGGTGATCAATTGTGCATCATGGCACGGTCAGCAGCGCCGACAGGCTGTCGCAAGGCGTGATAGCATGGCCGCAAGTCGCCGAATTCCCATGAAAACAAGTAAAAATCGCCGAAAAAAGAAGAAAAAACCTGAAAAAATCGGCGCCTGCGGCGGGCCATGGGGCCCCATCCCCCCCCCGCATGGACACCCTCTGGGGCCCCCGCGCCGGCCCAGGGATATTGGGCGAGTTCTTGCATTCTGCACCTGCATCCTGCATCGGTACTCTGTCCGCTCTCTCCTGGCTGTGGGTGAGTTTTTGCATTCCGCATTCTGCATCCTGCATCGATCCTGGTTCCTGCACGTCTCTCACTGCTGTAGCTTTGGGCCCGCTTCTGCATTCTGCATCCTGCATCTGCATCCTGCATCGGGGGCAGTTCACAGCTTTGGGCCCGCTTCTGCATTCTGCATTCTGCATCTGCATCCTGCATCGGGTACCAGTTCACAGCTTTGGGCCCGCTTCTGCATTCTGCATCCTGCATCTGCATCCTGCATGGGGTGCAGTTCACAGCTTTGGGGCCGATTCTGCATTCTGCATTCTGCATCTGCATCCTGCATCGGGTACCAGTTCACAGCTTTGGGGCCGATTCTGCATTCTATATAAGTCCGTTCCGGACATCAGGATTTAATCTGCGCTCCTTTCTCGCATGGACAAGTCTGCGGCTATGATAGTTCGCCAGAGCTCACACGCTGTTCCCTAGGCATGACGATCGGCCGTCGATCCCGAAGGGTCGTCGGTTGAGCTAGGGAGCCTGGCGATGGACGCCACCGCGACCCCTTGTGGCATCTCTCTCGCCGTCGGCGAGCTGGGGGCTCGCGGACGGCCGACTTTCTATATGACCAGTAGGACAGCCGTGAGTGTGAATTGGATAAGGAGTTTGCGTCCGTCCACCGTCTTCGTGGACGTCTGTCCTCGTGACACCCACACCCCACACGGCCTGTCTTGCTTCCCTGCCGGGGGCTGCTGTGTGCGAAACCCGGGCCGCGTCGCGCCGTTGGCGCTCCTCAGGAGGTGATCGTGCGTAATCTGCGCTCGAGAGTAACTATCGTGCCATATCTCTGACTTTTGTGCCCGGGCACCACACATGACATCATGCAGGATGCAGATGCAGAATGCAGAATGCAGAATCGGCCCCAAAGCTGTGAACTGCACCCGATGCAGGATGCAGATGCAGAATGCAGAATGCAGAATCGGGCCCAAAGCCGGATGCCTTAGCACCCGATGCAGAATGCAGGATGCGGATGCAGGATGCGGAATCGGGCTCGAAGCTGTGAGCTGCACCCGACGGACGAACTCTTTGGGTCTGATTTTGCATCCTGCATTCTGCAGAGGCTAATCCATGCAGACTGCAACCTGCATGCTACAAGAGTGAGTGAGGCCGCCCACGGCCCCGCCCGCGGCAAAGCCAGCGGCCAGCGGCAGCGCGCGCGTCGGCGAGGGCGACACCGCTCGCGGCCGGCGTCATGCTGCGCGGGTTCGGGCCGCCGGGGACTCTTTAACCAGGTGTCACATCGCCAAGGGCCAAGCAGGGGTGACGTCACTTGCTAGGGTGTCGCGTCGAGAGACGCGCGGACCGCGGTTAACCCATCAGCTGAGCGGCGCGAGGTCAGCTGTCTATTACTGGTGGGCACGGCCGGGATGCGAGGACCCTACCGGCGATACGGGTGGCGGCGGCGCCGCGGAAGCCTCTTCTCTCTCCTCTCGAATGACCACGGCGTATCGGCCAGGCGGGCTGAGACGCGTCGGCACCTACTGTGACGGTCAAGACGCTAGCGAGCTCGTCGTGCTAGAAGCTGCGCAGACTGCCCTTGACGCCGGTGCGGACCCAAATGATCCGGCCGAGAGAGACCCGGGCGGTGGGTATGATCAGCCGCCGCTGAGCAATGCGGCATGGTTCGGCCACCTGCGAGTCGTCGAGCTACTGCTTGCTCATGGTGCCGAAGTCAATGCGCGAGGGCGCGATGGGTTTACAGCTCTGATGCAGGCGGCGTACGGTGCGCCGTATCTGGTCAACGGTGCGTGCCACGCCGGCTGCGTCCACACCACTGAGGAACGGCAGGTGTCGATTGCGCGCCTTCTCCTCCGTCATGGTGCTGAAACGTGGCAGAAAAGCAGCTTCGAGTTCGTGGGGTTCGAACGAGACGCCTTGGGCTTGATAGATGGAGATTACCCCAGCCTGAGACGAGTGCTGCGCGCAGGCGCCGGATGGTGCAGGCTGCGCCGCCTTGCGCCTACGGTCGGTCGGATCACGCTCTTCGTTCACGCGCTCTTCGATGAAGTCTACTACCGCCCAGGCGGACGCGGGGCTCAGAGTTGCCACGACGAGTTCCAAGCGCTCGCGACTTGACCCCTGAGGGGTTTGGCCCATTTTTTGAGCGGACGTGGAGCTTGGCTGCTGCCCGGCCTCACCGGGGTGTGGAGTCTGGAGAGCCAGAGCGGACACGGGACGGCGGGACGCGGGGAGAGGAGGCCGCATCCCTCTCCCAGACTCTCCGGCACTGCCGCCGCCACTGCGCACTGGCTGTGGCACTACAAGGTACAGCGATCTCTCAACGTCTCGCGTACTTCCTTATAGACATTGTTTAGAGCGCGCGCTCTCTCCACGGAACTTGATGTGGTAAAAGACGGAGCGGAGCGCCGGGGGCGGGGGCGGGAGCAGTGACCAGTGTTTTGCTCGCATTAAAAAACACTTCGTGGAGTGCGGGCGCGCAGCTGCTCAGGGCGCCGCGGCCCGCGCAGGGCCCGCGCTGGCGGCGTTCGTGTTCGTCTTCGGAGTCACCACGGGCACGCTTGCGGCAAATCCTTCCGCCGGACGGGCGGCGCGTCGCTCTTCGCGGCGGAGCTACGCGCGCGGCTCGGCGCCGACTCGTCCAGCGCCTGCGCCGCGTAGATGGGGGTGGCGGGGAGAGGCGCCTCAGCGCCGGCGTCAGAAGAAGGGAGGATGCCGCGGCGGGAGGGGGAGGGAGAGATGCCGGCAGCGAGGTGGGGGGGAGGTCACGCGCGGAGGGGGCGGCGCGCGCCTGCGTCAGCCGGGAGCGGAGGTCGTTGGCGCGGCCGCCCTGCAGCTGCCGCGCCTGCGCTGAGCCTGCGGCGGCGGCGAGGGAAGGCGGGCCGCGTCGAGGGAGGGCGGCGGCGGCGGAAGCGGCGGCAGTTGTGCGTGGAAAGCATGTTGGCGGGCGCGCTTGGCGGGCGCGCGCCAGGCTTGACGATGCCGCCGGGCTTGCCGATCACAGAACGCAGGTCGGCGCCGCCGCCTCTCCTCGCGCCGCCGCCGCCCGCCTTTCCGCCGCCGCCGCCGCCGAGCCGGTCAAACACCGAGGACGGCTTGTTGCCGCCGGCCGCCGCGCCGCCGGCAGTCCGCCGCTGGGAGTCCTTGACCTGCAAGACAGGCCACGGGCGGCGGCGTCAGCACAGGTCGGCGGGGCGGTGCTGACCCGGCGGGCCAAGGCGGCGCGATCCCACCGCAGTGGCGCCGTCGATGATGCTCTTGCGCCGCTTATCGTACTCGGAGTCCGTCATGAAGCCCTCCTCGTAGATGCCCGCCAGGTTCTGCAGCGCTTTCTTCACCGATGGGTCCATCGTCGCAGAGCACGCTGCTGAACGGCGTCGCTCCGAGAGTTATGCGTAATTTTAAAATGACAGTTAACCAGCTAGCGTGCGGGGACAGTGTCGTTGGTGTCCAGTCCGAGCCTGGCTGTTCTTCACCTTACTACCTACCTACCTACAGTGTGTGTGTGTGTGGGGGGGGGGGACAGCGGCATCTCGCGTGCAAGCCCCACCCGGGCGGCGGGTGGACCAAGGGGCGTTCCGCCCTGCTTGCTCTAGGTGAAACGTCTGAAGGACGAAGAAAGCCCAACTCAGCACGACGGGCGGAGAGGACGGGCACTAGACCAGGAAGGACTCGCTCTCAGGGATGCCGTCAGGGTGCCGGAGGGAGAAGAGCGGCGGCGGCAGGTCATCCCCGGAGTCGCGGCTGTACCACCTGGATATGGAGTAGTAACGCCGGCGGCGGGGGCGGGGGCGGTGGCGGGCGGGGGTGGCGGCCGCCACCGTACCCGCCACCCCCGCCCGCCGTGGCGGCACTCGCGGTCGTAACGCCTGGTGTGGAGCCCCAGAGGCGGCCCCTCGACCCTGCAGCCGTTCCAGCGGCGGGGGCGGAGGTGGTAGTGTGGGTGGCGGAAACGGTGGTGGCACCGGCGGCTGCACCGCCTGGTGTGGAGAGCCCCAGAGGCGGCCCCTCGACCCAGCGGCCGCTCCAGCGGTGGGGGCGGAGGCGGTGGTGGTGGGGGTGGGCTTGGCGGCGGTGCCGGCAGCCGCACCGTGCCCCAAAAAGAAAGAAAGAAAACGGACAACCCAAGGGAGGGATGGGAGGACCAAAGAAAGAAAGAAAGAAAACAGACAACCCAAGGGAGGGATGGGAGGACGGCACGCCGCCACCAACACAGGGATTTTAAGGAGAGGGGTGTGATGCGCTAGCCGTCGCCCACCCTAGGGAGTCTGCCTCATCCTATCTCTTTTCGCAGTCTCTCGCCGCTTCTCGCTGCAACCTTCATGCCACCTCGCGGCCGTCCCACTCTCGTCGTTCTCTCCCTTGTCACTTCCTCCTAAGTCGCGTCATTCTCTTCTGCCTCGTCCTGCGCCGCCGCCGCCTGCCGTTCCCTTGTTCTCTCGGCTTCTTTCGCCTTTCGGCGCAGCTCCGCCCTCCTTGCTGCATATCCTGGCCCCTCGAGTCTATCGAGCTCCCCTCGCGCAAGGACCACATTTCTGACTCCCACTCCGATCATTTGCCTACAGGTCATGTTGTTGCTCAGGTCCACTCTCTCTTCGAACACTCGTGCCTCGACGGATGATGCCGGCGCTGGGGTCCCCTTCGGATGCATCGTGACATCTGACAACTGAATTTCCACTGGTTCGTCCTCCTCGGAGTCATCTTCCCCGTCCTCCTTCCGTTCGGCTCTTCGCTCGGTACGTTCGGTGTGGCTCACCCTCCATGCCGTGAACAGGATGGGAGGACCATCGGTCGTGGTCGAATTTCTCTTTTCCGCGATCGCCTAGACTTTGGTGGCGCCCGGACCGCAGAAGCCGAGCCGCCTCCCGGTGCGCTCGCGCCTCCGCTGCGGCCGAGGCTGCAGCTATCGGCGACACATCGTCTCGCGGCTACTCATCAGCGACATCCCGGCTACCATTGCCTGCGAGGTCGCCCGCACCGCACCGCAGCGTCCGCCTATCGTTAGGTGCTCTTTGTCTGCATGGCAGCGCGGCGCCCCCTGCTGCTCGCGGGCCTCGCGCTCGCCTCGGCGGGCGCTCTTCCCTTCCTCCCCGACGGCGTCCTTCCCACCGGCCCGCTCGTCGACGCGCAGTGCAACGTCGAGACAGTCGAGGAGGCAAACTCCGCTCAGGTGCAGACCCATGTCGCCCGTGCCACGGCCTCACACGGATCTCCCCGCGGAACCACGCCCCGCCCCGCTGCCCATCCGATCCTTACCCGCTGGCCTCGTCAAACGCCGCGCGACGCCGCAACCCGCCCGCCACTCCCTCTCCCGCCAGTAACACCGTGAGTGCTCCGGCCCGCAGCTCCCTTGCCAGTCCCTTGCCACTCCTGCTCGCTTGTCGCTCGCTCGCCACTCTCCCACCCCGCGCCGCCTCGCGCGCACAGCTGCACGCGCTGCTGACGGAGCTGTCCGAGACAACCTTCTTCCGCCTCGTGCATGTCAACATGGAAACGCGCTGTGTCTATTGGGGCAAGGCGCAGGCAGAGACGGGCCAGCAAGACGGGCAGACACACCACAAACGCGCACGCATGCACACGCACGCACACAATTACGCACGCACGCGCTCGCACGCGCACGCACACGCACGCGCACACAGAGGCCACGCACGCACGCACGCACGCACACACACACACACACACACACACACACACACACACACACACAAACACGCACGCACACACACACACACACACACCGCTCACCCACGCCCACTGGGCCTTGCACTTTGAATGCCGTGGGGCTCCCGTCGTGGTACGTGGAGATGCGAGCGCTGCTTGGCCCTTTCCCCACGTGTGTGTCGTGTGTGTGGACGTTCGCCATATCCCTTAGGCTTCTGCGCCTGCGCCGGCGGCGGGCGCCGAGGCTGGCGGTGGCGGTGCGGCGGCGGGCGGTGCCGCCCAGGTGGCAGGCTCCGGCGAGGCGGGGGCAGGAGAGGAGGAGGAGGAGGAGTGCGAGGGCGGCAAGGACGAGGAGACGGCCGTCCCTCTCTGCACTCTCGGCTCCGACGCCTCCGACGACCCTTTCGGAGGAGGCGGCGGATTCAGCAGCAGCAGCAGCAGCAGCGGTGGCGGCTTCGGTGGCGGCGGCCTTGGCGGCGGCATGTCGTCGGCGCCCGCGCCGTCTCCGACCATCGATTCGACCATCACTGAGGCGGAGGCGCAGGCCGACATGACCTTCTCGGAGGGCGAGGCGGATTGCTCCAACGAGGATTTCCGTGCTCGCAGTCTGGCCGAGGCCACCGCCTTGCGTCGTCCTGACTGGCCAGCTGCTATGAACAGGAGCTGCCCACCTTTTGGCTGGACATGTGCGCGCGCATCGACACCAACACGTCGAGTGTCGTCAATCTCGTGCTCAATCCAGAGAGGTGCAGTTGTTCCCTCCGGCTACAATACCTCGGCTACATCTCGGCTTCATCGGGCCAGGTCGCGGCTACATCCCAGCCACATCGCGGCTAGACTTCGGCTGTATCTTGGCCATGTCAGGTACACTGGCTACAACGGCTCGCACGTCTGGTCGGCCATCTACCAGGAGAATCGCCAGACAGTCATCAGTGTCGTCTCTCATGCCTCGTCCTTTGACTGTCGGACACGCACACCAGGAGAATTGCCTCGTTCGCACCGGCACCGCCGACAACATCTGCTACGAGGAGCGGGTGCTCTACCGGCTCCTCTCGGGGATGCACGCGGCGACCAACGTGCACATCGCGCGCTACTACCACGCGCCCTCCAAGCGCAAGGGGAGGGAGGAGCACGAGCCCATCCTGCCCCTCGCAGTCGGTGACGGCCGCCACTGACCGTCCCTCCCTCCGCCCCCTGGCGCAGGACTGGGAGCCCGACCTGCCCTACTTTCGCCGCCAGTTCGACGGCCACCCCGAGAGGCTGAAGAACCTGCACTTTGCATTCGTCGTCCTACTGCGCGCCCTCGCGCGCGCCGCTAGAAGCGGGATTCGCATCCCCGTCTCCCACCTAGCGCTCGAGAGGACACACGCCGTCCGCGGTACTCCGCCGCATTCAGCTGCATTCGCTGCCATCACAGCCCGCGTCTTCGTGCGACGCTCTGCATACACTGCGCGGTACCGCAGCCGCGCCCTGAGCGCGGCGACTTCACGCTGCAGGCGCGCGCCTCCCCCTACCTCGCCTCGTACGCGTACGTGGCGGGAGTCTCTGCGTCCGAAGACGCGTCCACCTCCTCGCTGGTGCGGCGGCTGCGCTCGACTCCGCCTCTCTGAGGGCCGAGCGGACCCACTCTCCCGCGCTGCGCTTCACTAGGTGCAGCGCCTGCTTGATTCCGCGATCCTCCGCTCGTGCGCGCCCGCCTTCTCCGCCTTTGACGAGGGCTTGCTCTTTACGAGAGTAGCACGCCCCATCCATTACCAGCTCCTGACTCACCACCCCTTCACCAAATAGGCCTGCTCTTCCGCGAGCAGCAGGCCTCGTGGTGGTCGCTCAAGAAGCAGTTCAAGTCCGTCTTCCACAACGTCTCGACCGTGCTCGATTGCGTCTCTTGCCAAAAGTGCCGGCTGCACGCCAAGGCGCGGCGTGCCCCGGCCCTAGCAACGAAGTGTGCCGCCCCACCGGCCTTAGCAACGAAGTGTGCCGCCCGTTGGGGGTGGACGCGCCTCGCGCCACTGTGGCCACACTCGAGGCTCCTCTCCACGCGTCCACCACCAGGCACTCCGTCTCACAGGTGACCATGCTGGGCTTCGGCGCCGCGCTCAAGATGCTGCTGCTGCCGACCGAGCTGCTGCCGACCTCGTCCTCGCGCGACGAGATTGTCGCCTTCCTCAACACGCTCACCAAGTTCTCGACGGCGATCCATTACGTCAAGGAGCTCACCGCGCTGCAGTACGACCAGTACTTCAAGGCGCAGCCGCTCCCCTCCCCCCTCGGGACCAACGTGGACGCCGTCGGCGCCGTCGCACCCACCGCCGCAGCCGCCGCCGCAGCCGCAGCCGCTGTCGCAGCGTCGCCGCAAGCCGCGTCCGCCGCCGCCGCCGCGTCATCCGCACCCGCACCCGCCGCCGCCACGGCCGCAGCCGAGTTTGTGGGCACTGCCGCCGCCGCCGCGCCCTCCCCCTTCTCTGGGGCGGTTGCGACGGCGCTGCTCGACACGACTCTGGGCGCGGTGGCGTCGCTGGTGCGTGGCGGGGCCATCGACGCGGCGCGCGAGGCCGAGGCGGTTCGCCGCGCGCTCGCGCTCGACGCGCGGCTCCTGCTGCTAGAAGCGGAAGATCTCCCCATATCTCCCCATATCTCCCCATATCTCGGGCTGCTAGAAGCGGAAGATCTCCCCATCTCTCCCCATCTCTCCCCATCTCTCCCCATATCTCGGGCTGCTAGAAGCGGAAGACGTATTCCTGAACTCCAACTAGCGCTCGAGAGGACGCGTCCTCCGCTGTATTCGATCAGCCTCCCGCAGTGGTCACTGGACTGTCCTTGCCGTGTAGTCTCCTGCTGCTCGCGAAGCACTTTGGCAGCGCGCCGCGCTTCGCCACGCACCTGCAAGCCGCCCTCGCCCTGCCGCCGTCTTTCGCCCCGCTCGAGGCGCTCGCGCCGCCCGCCACCGTCGCCGCTGCCGCCGCGCCGCCGGCGCCGCCGGCGCTCGACGCGGTCGTCATCGGTTCGGGCGTCGCCGGGCTAACTGCGGCGCTGCGGCTGCTCGACAGCGGCGCGACGGTGGCGCTGATGGACAAGGAGCGGCGGCTGGGCGGCAACTCGGCCAAGGCGCACGGCAGAGCTCGGAGAGATCTCGGCGGAGCTCAGCGAGACCTCGGCGAATCTCGGAGAGATCGCGGGCTCACTTCGGCGGCGGCCCTGCACAAGGCGTCGTCTGGAATCAACGGCTGCTGCCCTCCGCACTCACGCGGCGACGCCAACGCGGCGGAGTCGGCGGAGGCGTTCGCCACGCTCTCCCTCAATCTCCCGCGATCTCCCACAATCTCCCATTAGGCGGACTCGGTGGAGGCGTTCGCCAACGACACGGCGCGCAGCGCCAAGCGGGAGAGCGGCGGCCTCATCGCGCTGCTCGCGTCCTCGTCCGCGTCGGCGATCGAGTGGCTGCAGACGAGGACCGGCATTGACCTCTCCCGCGTCGCGCAGTTGGGCGGCCACTCGTACTCGCGCACGCACCGGCCGGCGAACGGCATGGTCGGCGCCGAGCTCACCTTTGCCCTCGCGCGCGAGGTGAAGCGCTTCGAGAAGAAGGGCGCGCTCCGGCTGCTCCTCGGCTGCCGCGCGACGGCGCTGCAGACGGACGCGGCCGGCGCTCGCCGTCGGGGCTTCCTAGGTTCTCGTAAGCCCTGTTCTTCTCACTGTTGTCGCCATCACTGCTAGGCGCCGTCGTCGGCGTGGCGTACACGGACGCGGCGGGCGGTTCCGCGTCGCTGCTCGCGACGGACACCGTCCTCGCGACGGGCGGCTTCGCGAACGACCGGAGCGACACGTCGCTGCTCGAGAAGCACCGGCCCGACTTGCTGCGCTTCCCGACGACAAACGGTCCGTGGGCGACGGGCGACGGCATGAAGATGGCGATGGCGATCGGGGCGGGGACGGTGGACATGGATCGCGTGCAGGTGCAGCCGGCACGCCTCCCTCGCCCCGCCGCCCCTCTGGACCCTTCTCCGACCCTGGCCTGCCCCCCCCGTTGCCTGCAGGTGCACCCGACGGGCTTCCTCGACCCCGCCGACCTCACGGCGCCCGCGAAGGTCCTTTGCGGCGAGATGATGCGCGGCGTCGGCGGCGTGCTGCTCTCGCCCGAGGGGAGGAGGTTTGTCGATGAGCTGCGGCCGCGAGACAAGGTCGTCGAGGCCGAGCTCGCCACCGGCGCCTCCGAGTTCACGCTGCTGCTCAACGGCGCCATGGCGGCCGAGGCGGGGAGGCACCTCGAGCACTACGCGCACAAGGGGCTGCTCGTCAAGCTGCAAGGCGCACGCCCGCCCTCGCGCGAAGCAGGCTCGCCTCCGCTCGCTGCCGCCGTGCGAACTGAGGACTGGACTCTAGGCACGCCCGCGCTCGCGCGCTGGATGGTCGCCTCCGCCGACGGCGCCGACAAGCAGACCGCGGAGCAGGCTGTGGCGCGCGCCGCCGCCGTCGACGCGGCCGCGGCGGCGGCGGTCGAGGCGACGCTCAACGCGACGCTCGAGGAGTACGCGGCGGCGGCGGCGGCGGGCGGCGACGTGTTTGGCAAGACGGTCTTCCCGCACGCACCGCTGCTCGCGTCGGCGGAGTTGTGGGCGGGGAGGATCGTGCCCGTGCTCCACTACACGATGGGGGGCATCACTTTCGCCGCGGACGGC